ACCGGGTCGTCGCCAAGCGTGCACCGCGAGGGTCGGAGAGCCAGGGAGCTCTGCGCCTTCTGCTTCCTCCCCGCACGGAGTCCCGTCTGTGACCCGGGAGAGCTGCCTCCTTGCGGTGTGCCTGCGGGGACCTGAGCGGGACCGGAGGGTTTGATGCGGGCGCGCCAAGTGGAAATATGCACCTTCATAGCCTGGGACTTACTTGCAGCTGGAAAGAGCGGGTGCGACCCCTGGGAAGACAGCCTCCTGGGTTGCGGGGACCTTACAGATGCTTCCTCTCATCCCCACCCCCACCCCCAATAGCCTTGAGGCATGAAGGTGTGACATGTCCCCCAGACCAGGAACAGGCTTTACACTCATGGGCCCCCCAAGTTCTGCTCGCCGGGGCCAGGGGGGTGGGGAGGCTCTGAACGCTGCCCAAAACGCACCGCAGGGAGCGCTCCCCGTGGCTTTGCCAACTCAGAAGAGCCGCCCTGGTCTCAGCCCAGCAGAGAGCTGGATGGAGGCGGTGCCCTTCCTTCTGCTGTGATTACATCAAGAACCTTTCTAAGAATCAGGGTTTTCTGTGGAAAGGGCTTGCCAGCCACGCCCAGTCATCAGAACGTTGGCATGAGAGCAGAATTGTCCGAGCGTCCTGTTGACATCTCTCCCTAGAGCGGAGCGTGTGCAGTGCCGTGCGTGTGTGGAGTGCGGTGCGTGTGGAGTGCGGTGCGTGTGTGCAGTGCCGTGCGTGTGCGGAGCGCTCTGCGTGTGGAGCGCCGTGCGTGTGTGCAGTGCCATGCGTGTGTGACATGTGAGTGCAGCTCCTGTGCGTGTGTCCGCACGCCTATCTCTGTATTTCCCGGGGCTGAGAAGCCGTTGTGTCGCCTGCCTTTAGGTCGACATCATGGACATCTGCGAGTCCATCTTGGAGAGGAAGCGGCATGACAGCGAGCGGTCTGCGTGCAGCCTCTTGGAGCTGAATGACATCGAAGCTGTTGAGGCTCTTGTGTGCATGAGCTCCTGGGGTCAGAGGCCCCGGGCAGGCGACCTGTGGAAGATGAGACCCCTCACGCCTGTGTCTGACTCTGGGGATGTCACCACCCCTCTGCTGGTGGATGAGGCCACACCCGAGCTGCCCAAGGACCTCCATTCCTTGTCAACGCTGGTAAGAGGCGGGGGGTGGAGAGGTGTGTGCAGTGGCCAGCGCTCCTGGAGTACATGTGCTGAGGGACACGCGGGCAGGGTCCCTGGGTGGCTGGCAAGCAAGGGCACGGCCTCCCCTGTGGAGGGCCTGAGATGAAGCTGTGTTTTGTCTTTTGGAAACATGTTTTCCCATGGATCGACCACAGCTTGCAGCCACAGGGCTAAAATGTGCATAGCACAAAACCTACAGGTTGATTTGAGAAAGCAAAACGTACTCATTTCCCTGGGCAATTGCAGGGTGGGGACCAGGTTCCCCCAGATGACCTAGTCCAGGGTCAGGGTAAGTGGGTGGCAGCTGGGGAAAGCCTGTGCGTTGGCACCAGACACCCTAAGTTGGTGGGTGGAAAGACTGGCCTCTGCCTCCCGGTGGCAGCCAGCTTCTGACTTGGGCGAGTTGGCTGCCATCAGGCACTGTTTCCTGTTTCCTTAACTTGCCGCGGCTCTGACATTACTGGGAGAAACGCGCCTCAGCTCGGAGAGGTGAGAGCTGTCTGTCGCTCACGGAAGTGAAAGTGGTCACTTAATGGCCCTGGGCTGGAAGCTGGCGCTGGAAAGAGACTGCGGGAACCACTTGGAGAAGGATGAGAAGGGCCGAGCGTGCGTAGCGAGGACTGCAGAGTCTGGCCTGGCTGCCGGAGCCCCTCAGAGCTCTTGGCATGAGGCTCTTCCCGGGAAGGCTGACAAGTGGGAATTGGTGGGGCAGTACAGAGAGGCTTGGTTTAGGCAGGCCACCGGTTAGAGCAGCGGTTCTCCACCTGTGGGTCGCGACACCTTTGGGGGTCGAACGACCCTTTCACGGGGCTCGCCTAAGACCATCGGAAAACACATATATAATTACATATTGTTTTTGTGATTAGTCACTATACTTTAATGATGTTCAATTTGTAACAATGACATTGGGGGTCACCACAACATGAGGAACCGTATTAAAGGGTCGCGGCATTAGGAAGGTTGAGAAACACTGGGTTAGAGCGTGGCCTCTGGGCATCATCGCTCTGACGGGTTTGCCTGGCCTCATCTCGCAGGCGCTGGCTGAGTGTGTATCAAATGAGAACCACTGGGGTTTCAGAAACATTTCCGAGGATCCCAAGTTCCTGTGGAAAGCTCTCTCCCTTGAGTGTCAGTTTGTTTTCTCATCGGAGTCCTAATGCTCCCATCGCCCGTTTCCGTCACTGCGGGCCCAGGAGCGGCACTGGTTACACCGGGCACAGGGATAGGTTTGGGAGGTCAGGAAAGGAGGGAGACCAGAAAGTAAAGGCTTAGGCCAGTTTTTTAAAGGCGTCGGGAGCATCCTGGTCAAAGTAAATGCCTTTCAAAATGTGACCAAAGCAGCCTTTTCCACAGTCTTTTCTTCTCCCCCAAGTGCATGACTCCGCCTCAGAGCCCTGACCTCATGGAGCCGTTGGCGAGAACACTCCTTCCTTCCCAAGCTCCTGACTCCAAAGCACGCGTGGCCGTGGCCGTGGCCGTCCCCCCAGCCTTTGCGGGGGCAGCCAGCGCCCTCAGCCGGAGGGAGGAGAGGATCCTGCCTGGTTTGAAGCCGGAGTGGCTGCAGCCGGCCGCTGGCGCCCCCTGCAGGGCTGTGATGGCCAGTGCCACCCACCACGCCCTGGGGAGTCCTGCTCCTGGCCACAGTCCTGCCTCCCAGCCTCCAGACCACAGGGGAGGAGCAGCACCGCTTCGGGGACACGCGGAAGCTTTGCGGGACGCGCGCCCCAGAGACACTCCCCTCACCGTGAACTCAGGGCCCCGTCCGCCTTGCTCCAAGAAGTCTGGCGACTGGGTTCCCTCCGACCAAGGCCAGCAGGCAGGTCGGCCAATTGCGGTCCCACCCTGCTCCCCCAAGAACTGTGAAAATGACCTGCCCGGGAACACCACGCCTCTCATTTCTGTCCCCGTCCCCAGCCCCCCCATCCTTTGCCAGATGGTCCCTGTGACTGGACAGAGTGGCATGTTGCCGGCATTTTTGAAGGCACCTCCCCCCGTCTCCGCCGGGACTGTCGCACCCATTCTGCCCCACGCTGCTCCAGGGTCCCAGCCGGTGCTCATGGGACCACCTGTGCCTCCGGGAGCTGTGATGCTGGTGCTGCCCCAGGGGGCGCTCCCCCCGCCCGCCTCCTGCTCCCCGGCAGGTGTCATGGCTGCGGGGAATACCAGGTTGTTGCCTCTGGCTCCGGCCCCCGTGTTCATCGCCACCAGTCACAATGGGGCCCCTCAGGCAGACTTTTCCCGAAGGAGGAACTATGTTTGCAACTTTCCGGGCTGCCGGAAAACCTACTTCAAAAGTTCCCACCTCAAGGCTCACCTCCGCACCCACACAGGTAAGTGCGAGGCAGGTGGGCATGGGGGCGCGGATCCAAGTCAGGGAACCTGTCTGGATTCCTAGAACACGGCATCGGCTCACCCTGTGCACAGGATGCAGGCGTCCTGTGGCGGCGACCCTTTGATAGCGTTTAGGGTGATGCTTACGTGGCCCCTTTCTCTTCACGTGGCCGTGGGCATGCCATTCTCTGCGTGTTGGAAACTGCACCCCCATTCAGTAAACAGTCTGACTTAGGGTTAGGGTCAAGGTCTCTCCAGTGTGTGGGAAAGCTTGAACTTCTGGAATATTTGAAATGTGAAGGAGTATAGTTTTCTTTCGGGAATATGTAGTTTTTCATTCAGAAGTCACAC